GCCAGGGCCCATGGCTCTCCTCAGAAGGGAACCCAAGGAGCGTACAGCTGGGCCAGGTTTGGCGAGGAAGTGGGCCATAGGCAATTTGCTCCCAGCCATGCATGGCAGCAAACCATCTCCAGGTGGGGAACCATCAATGCAGGGAAAACCCTCTACTGTCAGATAAGCAGGCTACCAGCTGCCACCTTTTCCCCTCGTCACTGTTTATTTACACATTTGGGTTTTTTTTCTCTTTCTCTCTGGTGTGTGGAGCACTTAGAACAGTAGGCAAAAAGAGCAATACAGGAGTGAGGAGGTTAACTCCCAAGTGATCGAGTGGGGGGTCGTTGGCCGCATAAATCAGCGAAAGGTGGACAATACACCAGACAGGAACCTGGTTATGTAGGCTGGAGAACTCTCACTCGCCGCAGCAAGGTCCAACTGACACGTAAGCCGGGGAAACGTGGGCAATACGCCAGGGGAACACAGCCCACAACAGCCACTCGAGCACAGCAGCTTCTTATTGCCTTTTGCTTTTTAAGTGACATAGGGGCTAGGGGATAGGCAGTGTGCAGGGAGGCTGCCGAGACAGTGAAGAGCAAACAATCACCAGCTGTGGGGTGTGGCCGGGCTAGCCGGAGTGTCTTAAACAGATATCAGCTGGTTAAAACTGCGCAGTAATAACAATTTGTGCCAAAGAACATTTGGCACTTTTGTTTAACAGGGCAAGTCATTAAGCATACTTGTACGTGTGTCCCCCTTGTGTCCATCCCCCTTTAATGATACTCTCCGTAAACCAGTGAAGGGTTAGGAAGCGTGATGATGCCCAGTTGGAGATGGGAAATTAGAAGTTCCCATAATCCTCTCCTGTTTGATGAATGCCTGTGATGTTTATATAACCATGGCAAAGATTGCTAACGCTTTACAGTGACAAAGTGACATGGACATATATCTTTACACACTAGTCAGGTTGCACTGTGGGTAATACAAATTCTAGATGTGAAATATAAAAATACGAGAGACTTTCAGGTTTTAATCCAGATGCAAGAAAACTTAATTCAGATTCCACAAAAAGCCAGAGAAGGTGGAGCGAAAAGGTCGGCAGTAAAATTTACTTACATCGTCATATTTACATGGCTTGATCTTTATAAAGACACCAAGAAGTTTTAAAAATATATTTAAAAAATGTTTGTGTGATAATTCAGAAGAAAGCAGTGTGACGCACAGCACATATACACACACATCCACCTGTACACTGACTAACACAACATTCACAATGTTAAATGATCTTAGTCTTTAATCAAGTTGCTGCTACATGTTATGGCTCCATTTATGTTCTCCCAGGTATAATTTAGAATTCTACAGTTTGAGCCATCTTTCCAATTTATTGTACAATATAGAGTCACACTTTGTCTAACTCCTGCAGTCTTGTTGCAGTTCAGTGACACAGCTGAAAGACAAAACATCAACATATGATATTATTCAATTTGTTACTCTCCCTAATGTTTTTGCAGTGACCAGTTTAACAGTAATTATTACAAGCAGTATAGACATACCTTGACCTGATGAGACACTGCTTTGTAGTGCATAGAACAGACTCAGACATACCCACAGATGGAACATGCTGGAAGCTTCACTGTGTTTGGAAACTAGAGGAAAGAAGAAAAGATATGAGGATCATTCTGAGAGCATCTTTAAAAAAATGACGAAACATACTGGTTGGTTTATTGAAACCTAGCGTTTAATTTCAGCAGGGGAAAGTGCAGTGATTTGTGCCAGCGGGTAAGTTGTGCCGCCCCTTGTTTCTAGTGAACCATAGAAGAAATTGGTCATGAGACCGGACATTTTTGATTTTTGAAGATGTAAATCTGAAAGTAGTTGTGATTGTCATTGTGAAGTTCGCATCAAAACCAAATCCTACACCTACATTGGATTGGTTGATGGTGCTGACACTGGTTTTTAAGTTTTTAAGGTGAAGTCGTAATAGGTCTGTGAATTTAAAGCCCATCTTCACTGAAAATGATGACGGAGTCATCCCTAGAGTAGATGTGCATAAAAACAGCCATCCACACCACACAAACTTGTGATACTGCCAGAAGAGAGCAGCGGGTAGCATCAATGAGTTCAAGTGTTGTTAGGCTGTGTTTAAGAAAACTGACTTTTGATGTGCTCATGTGGCAGAATTGGCTTATGTAAAATTGGCCTTTGAGGTTTTAAAATAAGTTTAAATAAACCTTAGACAATTACTTTTGTGTTAAATTTGTGTAGCTGTTATATAGCATTACAGTTTCTGAGATCAAAGTCTACTGTTTTACTTTCATAATCAATGGCACCCAAGGTATTCTCTCCAAAGGCACAACTTACCCTGCACCAGGGGCAAGTTGTGCCACAAGACCACTTTTTTTTCCAGAAAGCTATATTTCTTAAATACTATATGTGTGATTGTTCCCAGGGACGCACGACATCCTGAAATATATTTACATATTTTATTTGGAAGCATTACAGTCATGGTTTTAAGTAAAACCTGGCACAACCCACCCCATCGTCCCTCCTACTGTTTTGTTCATAAATTATAGTCACATCAAGGTTTGAGAAGAAGCTGTTATTAAAACCTGCATTTCAACAAAGAGCTGTCAAAGGACATCAAGGACGAGACTGTAGAGAAACTGCTGCTCAGATAAAACCTAAATCGAGGAGTATGACCCAAAGAACACCATCGCCACAGTTAAGCATGGAGGTGGAAACATTATGCTATGGGGCTGTTTTTCTGCCAAGGGTAGGGGACGACCTCCAGCATGACAATGACCTAAAACATACCACCAAGGCAACAAAGGAGCGACTAAAGAAGAAGCACATTAAGGTCATGGAGTTGACTAACCAGACCTGAATGCTTGAGGATTTCTCTGGATTTCATTGAACTATTTCATCTTTATGTGTTTTCTGAGTTTAAAGCTGCTGTGTGTATTGTTTCTACACCTCAACTGTAGTTGTCACAATTGGTGACAAATACTTGTGATATCGTGTGATGTCACGGCAAGATTATACAGAACCATGCCACTACATGCCACGCTGTATTGTACTGTTACTCTTACCAATCATACGTTTTCTGAGGTAATACAAGCAGTTATAAGGGTGACAAATCTGTCAAGCGGTGAGTGTTGATATGGGGAGTAGTTTAAAAAAGGGAGGTACAGATACATATCAGGAGATCTCTGAGTTTATTGCTTAACAGAAACTAAATGAAAAACCCACAAGACAGATTACAGATGCTATTTCTGTGTCTCTGCTTATCTTCATCTGCAAGTCCTTACTGTACTAAAGACAGTGTTAACTTTGTGAGAATACTTCATGTAGATCATGAACTGTTGTCATGTGTCCATTCACTTACATTTACACACACACATTAAAGTAGAATGACTCAATATAAGTATGTGTATGAGTTGATGAGGCATGTACTCAAAGTGATCACATCTGTAATGTTGAACTGGTAAATTGTACAGTGTGTGATAACTGCTGTGTTAACATGCTCATAACAGCAGCTAATGAAAAATGCTATGGGCGGTTCAGATGTATAACAACCTTTCTTGTTCAGCATTGCCCTTTAAGGATGTGGACTGTGATACATGCACAACAAACTAATAGATTAAGATGTCCCATAAATACACAAACACACTCACTGGTTTTATAATTTTGAGTCACTGGGAGTTATGGTTTTCTGTGGCTGACACAGCAAGCCAAAAA